GTGGAACACTATTGGGGGATGGGTGTCTACAGATAGCTAAAGGCTATAAAAATGCAAGACTATCCATTCGTCACAGCCAAGTTCAAAGGGAATATTTTGATTGGAAAATTGCCAATTTAAAAGAAATCGCTTCACCAAAATCTGTCCAAATATCTAAAGCTAGTGGTTATAGTAAGAATACAAAATTCTTATTTCAAAGTGCGAGTCTACCCGAACTTACGTTGATGTATAATCTTACGTACAAAAAAAAACGGCTTTGTATTCGTCGTCGTTGGCTTAATAAGCTTACTCCGCTATCTTTGGCTATCTGGTGGTGCGATGATGGGTCAATTATAGGAAATCCACCTCGTAGAGGCGTGTTATGCACAGATGGTTTTGACGAAAAGTCAGTTCGAATGCTTGCGCGTTATTTAGAAAAAGTGTGGGCGCTAAAAGCACATGTAGGCGCAATTCGTCGAGACCGCAAATATGGTAATTATACTAAGAAAGAATATTTTCGACTTTGGTTTAGTACCAAAGAGCTTAAGAAGTGGCTACGTATTATACTGCCACACATTCCTGTAGCCTCTATGGTGTGTAAAACAAGACTAATTTACAAGGATTCCCAATTTCAACAACGCTGGATCTCTGAGCAGTGTTCAGCCTTGCCTCAATTTACTAATGAAATAGAAGAACTCTATATCCTAAAAAGAAAGCAAAACATTGATTCAGAGAATGATATAGTCCAATAGTGAAGCTTTTCTTCACTTTGACCCTGGTAGTCCATGCCGTAAACGATGAGTGTTCGTCCTTGGTCTTGCCCTATAGGCGGATCAGGGGCCCAGCTAACGCGTTAAACACTCCGCCTGGGGAGTACGGTCGCAAGACTGAAACTCAAAGGAATAGACGGGGGCCTACACAAGCGGTGGAGCATGTGGTTTAATTCGATACAACGCGCAAAACCTTACCAGCCCTTGACATATGAGTAAGCTTATCTTTAATCAGATGGCTCTAAAAACTCATACAGGTGCTGCATGGCTGTCGTCAGCTCGTGTCGTGTTCATTTCGCGACCAAGCTAAGTGATTAGTTTGAAAAATCCGACTCATAACGATGGACCCCCCCTAAGTTGATTTAAAACACGCTTAGCGGAGGCAATATCGTGGGAAGTTCTATTCTAGTACAAGCTGAAAAGATTAACATACAAATAATTCCATGATTATCGGCTGCATACTTGGAGATGGGTAATAAATATAGTAGTTTAACTTTGGAACATTAAATCGAGCAATCAGACTCTATCTATTGAAAATATGCAAAGTTAAAAGAGTTGAAATTCTTAACCGAAAAATGCGAGTCCAAATTAGTAAAAGGTATTCATCCAAAAACAAGAAAAGAGACAAGACCTTTACGATTTAATGCAAAAAGTTTGTTTAAAGAAGAAAGATCCCTTTTTTCATGATGGCATTAAGCTTATACCTTCTAACTTTGAAGCTATTTGTACTCCTGAAACTCTTCGTTTTTGCTTTATGGATGATGGTGGAAGATGTGGCAATGCGCCCGCAGGGCTTGGTCCTTGATATTTCTGCAACTAATTGAGATAGTGCTCAAATAGTTTCATCTTGTTTATTTAGCAATTATGGAATCAATACATTGTAGTGGCACAAGCTCAAAAAGTGTATTTTAAAGGAAATACTGTTAAATTCTTTTGTCATCTGATTCGGCCCTATATTACTCCTTGTATGTTATATAAGCTTGAGCATCTTTTAGTTCGCTCTAGGCGCGAACAAGAGTGCGATACGATTTAGAATTTGAACCCCGTAACGACTTAGTCAACTGTATGTAGTTAAAAGAGGTGCGAAGCATTTGAGCTTTTGTAGATACATATTTTTTTGACTGGATAGCAAAAGCTATAAGACGTCGGCTCTTTGCAGACATGAGATGTAGGCAAAGATGAAGGTATAGTCTGACTATTATTGTAAGATAATAGACTAAAGGAGATGTTGGGTTAAGTCCTATAACGAGCGCAACCCTTATTTTGTGTTGCTAAATGAAAACTTTTTCATTGCACTCACACAAAACTGCCAGTGATATACTGGAGGAAGGTGAGGATACTGGCTTAAAAGACGTTGTCCTCAACTATGGTGACATAGTTTTCTAAAAAACCTGGTGAATTGCAAGAACGCTAAGTGACTCTGATCATATGCCAACTTGCAGCGAAAAATACTAAAGAAGTAATTTTGTAAGTATGTACGTTCAACGACTAGAGAGTGAGGATACTTCACTAATAACCTCTCCACGAGCGCCGGCTACTTTGCCAAACTGTACCCAAAAGTCAGGGGAATAATTCTACGTGGATTATAGGTGCCATTTTAGGGGACGGTTCTATCTATATCGCCCCCAAATACTATATATCGCACATTCCGTTAAACAAAAAGAATATTTTTTTTGGAAGTTTAACAAGCTAAAAAAAGGGGAGTACTCTCGGAAAAGTTTCAACCAAAAGTATGCAAACAAACACATTCCAAGACCGGAAAAATTTACGAAACAAAGTTTGTATGTCTAAACCCATAAAAGAACGCACACTGTGTGTGGTATCCTAATGGTGTCAAAACAGTTCGACAAGACTTCGATTTGTCTCTCAATGTCGAAGCTTTAGCTCTTTGTTTTATGGACGATGGGGGACAAATAGTGCTTTCGGTTCTGGTATGATCATTGATGTATCACATTTTCCCAAGTCATGTCAATTTTCTTTGCAAAAGCTACTTTTGAAAAATTTTAGTTTAGAAACCACATTTCATGTGCGATCAGCGAAAAATGTGAAACTTTATATTCTATCCGAGCTCGTAGTGCTGCTACTTTTCGTAATCTTGTCTAAGAGTGGAAAGTACCAGAAATGAGATACAAATTAACTCGCTCTCTCTAAGGGTCAAATTTGGGAAAGTAGATGACATAGTCTGACCTTCTAGGAAACTAGAAGAAATAAGAGATAAACACTCTTATTATAACACAAACAAATGGACGTCAAGTCCGCATGGCCCTTATGGGCTGGGCTACACACGTGCTACAATGGCAATTACAATGGGAAGCAAGGCTGTAAAGCGGAGCGAATCCATAAAGATTGCCTCAGTTCGGATTGTTCTCTGCAACTCGAGAACATGAAGTTGGAATCGCTAGTAATCGCGGATCAGCATGCCGCGGTGAATACGTACCTGGGCTTTGCACTTACCGCCCGTCACGCCCTGGGAATGAACTTCGCCCGAAGGCATCGACAAGTGTTCATACTTTAAAAGTCAAGTGCCTGTTGGCTTTTGTCTTAATTTATGAACATAAATGTCGTAAACCACGGTGGGGTTCGTGACTGAGGCGAAGTCGTAACAAGGTAGTCGTAGGGGAACCTGCGGCTGGACTGTCTCTTTTTTCTTTCTCACTGTAACGTTCCATCATCTTGCTTTCTCGAATAGAGTACCTAAGATAATTTTTTCTGAAAAACTATCGCTTCGCGCCTTATCAATTTGCTTTTGTTTTCTTTAGATTTAGTACTTCATTTTTGAACTATTTCTTGTCTAGTACAACTATGTCTATGTTCTTTTATGCTGAAAAGAAATGTGCAGGCTCTCTCAAGAGTACAATCTCTGCCTAAATAAAAATCATGTTACTTTAGTTAGCTGGAAGTTAGATGCTACCAACCTGCAACACAAGGCTTAGACTCGCCCCGGTTGGTGCTGACGCTCTTTGTCTAAAGTGTCGCTTGCGCGGAATAAATTCTAGTGGGTATGTGTCTCTTAAAAGTAAGTCTCCGTCGCCCACGCTTACTTCGCAAGCTTGCATGCTTCGCGGGGTTGCAAAGCAAAGCTTGCTCTGCTTGGTTGGCAACCGTCGCCGGCGACGGTTGCAAGTTCGTAAGAACGACAAGGAACACCGCAAGCTTCGCTTGCTAAAATGGAGGTTGCTCGTGCGAAGCACGCGCATTTCGATGGCGCAACTTTATTCGAGGTCTCCTGTTAGGTAGGTTCGTCAGAGCGAGCAAGCGACATTCTTTGATTAGGCGCCTTCCTTGCGAGCGCAAGCTTTGCAGCCACCGAAGGAAGGCGCCTTCGGACATTTTTTTTTGCGGACATTTTTCATTCAATGCAGAGACATATTGACCACCTGCATCATGCGCTATATCTAAAGAAGAAAGTTTTGGTTATCCGCAAGTGTTTACTCCCATGGTTCCTTCGAAGAATAGTTTTTTTTTTCTGCGAAACAAAAAACTATTCTTCGAATAAGGGCGACTTTACTTGTTCGCACCTAACGCTTTGTTGCTTTTTCAGTGCAGACACAGCAAAAGGCAGAATAGTTTAGTTGGTTAGAACAACGGAATCATACTCCGTGTGCCGGGGGTTCAAGTCCCTCTTCTGCCAAGCTTCTTTTTATAGCTTTGGTATCATAAGGGGCGAAGCGTGTGGTAGATTCGCGTATTGTTAAGAAAACGAATATCATATAGTCTGTACTTCTTCTTTTTCAGCGATTCTAACGCGCCTTCGCTTGCAATGCAAGCTCGTTTTGTTTCGCACAAATGTTGCTTGCTCATTCTGACGAACCTAACGGAACCTTCGGTGTGAGCGCATTTCGATGGCAAGCGAAACATATCACGAGTTGGCGGGTGAAGCAGTAAAATGTTTCGCGCATATTTTCTTTTCTCCGGAACGTCACAAGCAAAGCTTGCTCGAGTTTTTCTTCGCGTGAGAATGCAAGCAAGCGAATCTTGAGCCTGGCGGACCCATATGCGAGTCTGGCGGGTAGGCGAAAGCGCGTGTGATAATGCAAGCTTTGCTTGCTCGTCCATTTTGCGTGGTTTTCTTCGAAAACGTCGCAAAGCGAGCAAGCAAAGCTTGCGATGCGCAAAGCGTGCGTTGTTAATACATGAATCTAAGAGCTGCCTTTTTCCAATGAAATTTTTTATAGAAATTCTTTTTAGTTATTGCTTGTAATTATTCTCTAAGACGTTAGATATGTCAAAACTTTATAATGTTTAAACCGGGCAAAAATGTAAAACGTGTTAACACCCGAACCCTTTTCGACCTCGAACTGTGAAATCGTTTTACGCCATATGTACTGATTTGTGAATTTTGGGAGACATGGGAGACCCGGTACCTTTTTAACGCACCGCAAGATTAAGTAACAATGATATTTCATTTGTTATGTATGAGAGCATCGCTCTGGTATTTTTTTTGTAGTTAGCTAGTCGCAGTGAAAGACAAGAAAGTTAAGTCAGCAGTTAGTAGGTTTCCTACAAGCAGAGGCGCGAAAGTCCGTAAGGACGAGCGAGCTTGCAAAGCTCGCGTGGCCTCCGGTGCGAGCGCAAGCGAAGCAAATCACGGTTGGACGAGCTTGCTTTGCAAAGCAAGCGATGGCGCAAAGCGTGCGAGCGCAAGCGAAGCAAACCGCGAAGTGTGCGAGCGAGCGAAGCTCGCGAAGGGTTGTTATCTTCTTTTGTTTGAAAGATTTCGCGTTTCATTAGGCTTTTTGATAGTTTTCGTCGAAAGACTGTTGTATTAGACCGCAATTCATTTCCGTAAAGACTAATAAATTTAGAACTTGGTTTTCTACTTGGTTTTTCGGAGATTAGTTTATCTCTATGCGAGCATTCTTCTTATGTTCAACTTTTTTATTTGATCTTTTGGTATTCAAAGAAAGCTTTAGAGTCTAACTTTCTTCTTTGCGGGATAGAGTAATTGGTAACTCGTCAGGCTCATAATCTGAATATTGTAGGTTCGAATCCTACTTCCGCCAGTTTGAACATTTTTATAAAGTCTCATAAAATTAGACAAAAAACGCTACTTTGGTTAATGTTCCCGTCGCGGTTCGTAAGAACGCGCCTCCGGCAGAAAATTAAGAAAAAAAAATAGATCAATAGTGAATTTTTGGATAAACCTACATCCTCGCATAAAAGAATCAATTCTATATGCAAAAGAACAATTAGGTAACTAATTGCATCCATTTTTCTATGTATCTTCGGATTCAATCGATTTGGGTGAGGAGTTGCCAGCAAGACCCATAGAAGACGGTTTCCCTAAGGACAATCACACACACAAAGATTCCTGTTTTGGGAGATGTGCTTTTATGCGGTGCTAATAAAATGCATTGAAAGAATGCCTTGGCTTTAAGTAAAGGGACGCTAACTTAGGCGAAACACCATAGGAAGAAAACCTCTGTGCACTATGGGTCTCCCCTCGGAAAACCTATGAATGAAAACTACAGTGTGAATTGAAACATCTCAGTAGCACTAGGAAAGGACATCAACCGAGACTCCGTTAGTAGTGGCGAGCGAACGCGGATTTGGCTAATAGCGCACTAACCTTTTTTGTATTCTTTAGAAACAGTTTGGAATACTGTGCCAAAGAGGGTGAAAGCCCCGTATTTCATCGTTTACGATAACGAGTTTGCGCTTGCTAAGTAAAACACATCCTTTGTGTTAGAACGTTGTATTAAATACAGCAGGGGGACCGCCCTCTAAGCCTAAGTACTTCTTAAAGACCGATAGTGAACAAGTACCGTGAGGGAAAGGTGAAAAGAACCCTAAGAAAGGGAGTGAAAAAGAGATCCTGAATTTCGATGCAAACAATCAGTCGCCCCTGAAGGGGACGGCGTACCTTTTGCATAATGGGTCAGCGAGTAAATGGACACAGCAAGCTTAAGCTGTTAAGTGTAGGCGTAGCGAAGTTGTTTTTTTAGTTGTCTTCATTTGACCCGAAATCGAACGATCTAGGCATGGACAGGTTGAAGAGAGTTCTAACGAGCCTTGGAGGACCGAACCCACGTATGTGGCAAAATACGGGGATGATCTGTGCCTAGGGGTGAAAGGCCAATCAAGTTCGAATAGCTGGTTTTCCGCGACATCTGTTTAGGCAGAGCGTATAAAGAAAGTCAATGATCCGAGGTAGAGCACTCAATGGATTAGGGTGGCCCAAAGCTTTACCGACTCCAAGGAAACTCCGAATGCGGTTTCATTTGAAGTTTATACAGACAGACTTTGGGTGATAAGATCCAAGGTCGAGAGGGAAACAGCCCAGATCGTATGCTAAGGTCCTTAAGCAATCACTTAGTGGAAAAGGAAGTGATCGAGCGATTACAACCAGGAGGTGGGCTTGACTCTTCCAGGCCCTCCTGTCTTAGTCTTTGCCTATCGAGTTAGATAGAAAAAGATCTAAGATAAACCAATTTGGCTATATGCTGAGAACGCCTAAATAGAAAATATCAGGGGCCAATCAGCAGACTCAACTGGGTCTCAACGACTACACGCCAAAAACTTTTTCAAAAACTACGTAATGAATTTATGAATCCATTCTATATTAGCGGACTTACGCAAGCTGACGGCTCTTTTTTTGTTCTTTTTGAAAAAAGAAAAGTTGTTTCTGCGAACCAGATAAAACTAAAACCAACATTCACTATAACTTTAGATCTTGCCTCGAAATCCGCCCTTGAAGCGATAAAACACTTTTTTGGTGGTATCGGCGGGCTTTGCGAGAATAGGCAAAACCATTCAATAGAATTTAGAGTAAACTCAATACCACAATTACGGAATACTATTATCCCGCATTTTATGAAATATCGATTATATGGGGAGAAAGAACATAGTTTTTTACTATTCAGCCAAGTGGTAAAAGCCATTTCGGAGAAGAAAGATTATGATAAACAAGAGCTCGCGCAATTAGTCAAACTCTGTTTCGCCATGAATCGTTCTACTCAAAGAACACAAAGCCAACTTGATTCGCTCCTTCAAGAATTGCCCATGACTGCATTTGCTGCTCCTGAAGTCGCACCTGCTTCGCAGCCTCCCGCTGGTCGAAGAGGAAGCTTGAATAAAAGTCTTCTCTCTGATACCCCGCCTGCTTCGACGCAGCGTAGGTCGAACCTGCAAGACCTTTTTCTTGTGGGGCTTATTGATGGAGACGGCTGCTTTTCAGTGAGCTTTTTAGCAAATAAGCGAATCTTACTTGGTTTTCATATCACCGGTGCTTTAACCAAAAGTCAATTGCGGCTTTTTTTTAGGGTCAAGCGGCGTTTTGATCAATGTGGTTCAATTACGAGAAAACGGGGGACTTCTTCTAAGAGCTATTGCCGCTATCAAGTGGATTCTTTCAGGGATATAAAAAAATGCATAGTACCCTTCATGGATCAGCACACTTTGTATACCGAAAAGGCTATTCATTATGCAAAGTTTAAAAAAGTGGTAGATTTAATAGAAAGGAAGGCTCATCTCAACCGGTCGGGCTTTTTAGAGATTGTGGAGATAGCTTATGATATGAATCAAGCGGGTAAGCGTAGAAAGTTGACTAAAGAAGAATATTTACAGAAATACTGTAGTTTTGATCCAAAGTTATGATATAGTCTGATCAATAGGTAGCGTAAGCTACTGTATGATTTGTGGAAGCTGCCATCCTTTGAAGAAAGCGTAATAGCTCACTGGTCTAGCTTCATTGCACCAAAAATGTATCGGGGCTCAAGTGATTCACCGAAGCAACGAGACTTAAAAAGTCGGTAGCGGAACGTTCTGTAAGTTGAAGAAGATTGTTGATAACAACAGTTGGAAATATCAGAAGTGAAAATGCTGACATGAGTAACGAAACATCATGTGAAAAACATGATCGCCGAATGTTCAAGGGTTTCTGCGTTCAGTCAATCTGCGCAGAGTTTTGCGGTCCCTAAGTTGACTCCGAAAGGCAGTATTACGATGGGTACACGAAAGTGACGAGGCTTTTTTTTACTTTGAAAAGATGCCTTTAGGCTCCGTGACATTCGCTTGTTTCGCAAGCGAAACATGGAAAACCTTTTGGCTGTTATTGGATCAACTTACAAGGTAAGAGCTTCCAAGAAAAAACTTCGTGCTTCTTTTAAGGATTCTTTTTCCCCAAAAGAAGTCAACCGTACCCCAAACCGACACAGGTGAACAAGTAGAGTATACTAAGGCGCTTGAGAGAACCATGTTGAAGGAACTCGGCAAAATGACCCCGTAACTTCGGGAGAAGGGGTGCTTTGCTCTTTGCCATGCAAGGAGTAAAGTGGCACATACCAGAGGGTAGTCGCCGCCCTCTTTAAATTTCACTATATGCGGGAACACCCAACGGGCAATCCGCAGGAAAAAACACACACACAAAGCAAAATGACCTCAACTCACACATATACCAGAACTTGGCAATTTGACTTGGTATTCATTAAATGAAGAAGGTGATATACTTAATTTGACATTACCAGCTCTGACGAGCCTGTATTTCTATTTTTAGACTAATGCCACAACCTGAACACACTTATGTTGGATCCACCAACAACTTAAAGCGAAGAATTCTGTATCATAGATCAGATTTTGCTCGTAATAAGAATACTTGCCCTTTGTTCTACCAAGCAATTCGTGAGCATGGTTGGCAGCAGTTTGAGTTTGCTGTATTAGAGCATGTTTTGGTTGAAGCCCACTTGCTGCAACGAGAACAATATTATTTAGATAGTCTTTTACCGCATTTTAATGTAAATAAGTTAGTATGGTCTGAAAAGGGTATATCGCGTTTTCCTCAGGATGCGCAAATTGATCGGATCAAGTGGCCTAGAAAATTGTCGGACGAAACTAAAGCCAAGATTAGCGTAGCGCGACAAGCACAAATGCAAGACGAGGCTTACGAATTGATTCGCCAAAAAATGCGAGAAAGTCGCTTAGGCAAGACTCTGTCTACCGAAACACGAGAGAAGATGCGCCAAGCTCATTTAGGCAAAAAACGTGGGCCATATAAACAAAAGAAAAAAGATTCCTAGAAATGATTGTGCCTTTTCTGTTCTGTGAGGCCTCTCCTGTATGGGAAATAGGATTATGGCAGCACATCTCGGCATGGTTACGACAGTATGGTTGCGCTTATTGTGTATGTGTAATTCCTCAGAGACTCTAGGTGAAAAAGACCATTGAATGGCTTATGATAGAGTCCACGTATTTATTCACCTCCGACTCCTCGGTATCGCAGTCCGGCATGATATACTACTTTCTTGCTCGGCAAAAAAAGGTAATACCTATGGGGAGGAAAGGCGAATGAGTATAAATAAACCTGGACGACTGTTTACTAAAAACACAGGACTCTGCTAAGTGGTAACACGATGTATAGGGTCTGACACCTGCCCGGTGCTGGAAGGTGAACAGGAGAAGTCTTAACAGCTTTGAATCGAAGCCCCAGTAAACGGCAGCCGTAACTCGTAAGGGTTAGATGTGTAGTAATACATGTTGATACAATCCGACTAAATAAAGGGATCTCTTGCTGAACAACAGCATGAAAATCTTTAGGCAAGATCGATTTATGCTAATGCACAAAAGCTTGCTGCAACGACTACATGTCGGATGGCTCCTGCCTTGCTTGTCAAGAGTCAAAGAAATAGTCTGAACTTTGTGGTAACATAAAGCACACTTATGTTTAGACATAAGTAACAAGATTGCTAACGGTTCTAAGGTGAATTTATTTGCTTTTATTTAGCTTTTCGGTAATCCCAACTAAAATATGAACTAAAATATGAAATTATCACATGATTGTATATGTGGCTTTGTTGAAGGATAGGGATCTTTTGTTATTTCTATAACAAAAAGATAATCTTCAAAATCAGAAAAGGTCACACAACATATTAAAAAGAAAGAAGAAAGTTAAATAAAGCGCCTACGCTGCCTTACTTCTATAGTAACATAGAATATCCAACCTCACCATATGCGAGAATAACTCCGTTCTAACTGCAGCTTAAACCGTAGCTGACTAGACAGGTTAGTATGACCTGTACCCTACGTACACTAAAACGTAAAAATGGGACAGCAAGGAGTCAACCCGCAGGAAACTTATAAAGATTTGATTTCCTTCGGAACCTTAAGAATCGTCATTTTTTTATAAGGCTCCTCAGAGACCTTACGTGAGGCTTCTTGTTTTTTTTAATCACAACAAAATGATTCGTACCATGATTTATCCACAAAAATGTGCACCCGATTGGATTGTTGGATTTACTGATGCTGAAGGTCATTTCAGTATTATTCAATCACGAAATAAAATTCGGTGCCGTTTTATTATTTCACAAAATGCACGTTCAATTCATGCCTTATATGCAATCAAAGACTATTTTGGCGTTGGACACGTAAATTGTGCTGGTGGTAAAATGTATGCTTACACCGTAGGCAATCTTAATGATATCTATGACAAAATTATTCCATTTTTTGAAAAATATACTCTTCATTCTAACAAATATTTTGATTGGCTTTTATTTCGGCATGCCCTTGAAGCACAAAAAATCGTTCTAGTCACAACTTATTTAGAGCGAAACTCATTAAAAAAAAAGATTCTATAACACTTCAAAACCAAATAGAGAGCTTACTACAGACTGGTTCCTCGGCTTTTGTGATGGAGAGGCTTGTTTTACGGTATCTCTTGTAAATAAAGTAGTGCGTCCTCAGTTTATTATAGGTATACATCAAAAAGACCAGGATCTGTGCTATAAATAAAAATTTATTAGAGTGCGGGTCTGTATATCAACGAAAAAGTGGATTTATTATTTATCAAATATCAAAGTGTGAAGATCTTCTAAAAAGTTGTTGCCCCTATTATACATTAATGGGAAATATCATAGATTGCGAACAAAAAAAAATTATGTGTCTCTTATTTTGCTCGTATTTTGCAAAAGGTAAAGAAAAAGAAGACAAGACTGATACTTGGTTAAATCATATAAGATTGTTGAAAAACGTATGAGTGATTATAAAAAAGTAAGTAGAAGATAAGGTCCGGACTTTTGTGTGAACAAAAGAAGTAACTAAATCCTTCGCATCAAAGATGCAAAGCCATCATCGATGCAAAGACTAACTAGTTAATATATAGGAGATTTAGCGAACAACAAAGTCAAGCGAAATTCCTTGTCGCATAAGTAGCGACCTGCATGAATGGTAGACTAATATCGTTATGCCATAATTTTTCGCAAGAAAAGTAGCGATGCAGTAATTTTAGACAACTTGACTATATGCGGGAAATCCCAATTTAATCGGACAACCCGCAGGCGCTTAGAATAAGACAAGAAAATGAACAAAGAAGATCAAATTTTTGAAAAACTAAACATTCTTTGGTACAACATTGATGAATCCGGCCGGATACTACATTTTGAGACCAATAGTCCCGGCGTCTATGTATATCGAAATATATTAGAATTGGACAAAGTCTACATTGGCTCTACGGCGACTCTGAGTAAAAGAACAAAACGACACCAATCGGAGGTGGCTCAAGGGAAAGGCTCATGTCCTCGATTCTACAATGCTGTACGTAAACATGGTTGGTCACAATTTCAATTTGGAGTCTTAGAGTATGTATCAAACTTATTTGAGTTAATTGCGAGAGAACAGTATTTTTTTGATTGAATACTCCCCATTATAATGTCAATAAACTGGCGGGCTCCATGCGTGGATTTAAGCATTCGGCCGAGTTTTCACAAAAAATACGAGCGGCTAGACTTGGTAAAAAACATAGTGTTGACACAAAAGCAAAGATAAGCCGATCTCTTCTCAAAAAAGTACGATGCTTGAGGCGACGTCAGCCGCAGGCCTTTTAGACGATAACACACTTACCCAAATGAGTACTGCTATTGTGACTTCACAAAAAAGCCAAAGCGAAGTTCGCTGTCAATGCAACACCGGGCTAAATTAAGCAAAGCTATGCTGGGCAAGAATTAGCTGCTGGAAAACGCGCCCACTTTCAGAAGAACATAAAGCCAAGATTCGTGATGCTATGATTGGGGGAAAGCGTGGTCCACTTTCGGAAGAACATAAAGCTAAGATTCGTGATGCTTTAATTGGTAAAAAACACAAGATCTGATTTGTTTAAATTTTTGGCGCCTCAGAGACTTTACGTCAAGCAGGCTTGAGCGCTTCGCGCCATATCTCAAGGTTGAAGAGAAAGTCCAAATGCGAGGTAACGATCGCCCTACTGTCTCCAACATGGACTCAGTGAAATTGAATTCTCCGTGAAGATGCGGAGTACCAGCGGCTAGACGGTAAGACCCCGTGCACCTTTACTATAACTTTGCAGTGATAGCCTTGATTGAATGTGTAGGATAGGTGGGAGACTTTTGTCGTCCTTGAAATACCACCCTTTCGTCAGAGGATATCTAACTGCCATTTTTAGGCAGGACACTGCATGGTGGGTAGTTTGCCTGGGGCGGGCGCCTCCTAAAGAGTAACGGAGGCGTGCGAAGGTAGGCTCAAGCTGGAAAAATACCAGCTTTGGAATGCAATGGTATAAGCCTGCCTGACTGTGAGACCTACAAGTCGAACAGAGACGAAAGTCGGCCATAGTGATCCGGGAGTCCCGTGCGGAAGGGCTCTCGCTCAACGGATCAAAGGTACGCCGGGGATGAAACTGTTGTCCCATTTTTTGGTAACAAAAAAATAGCGTACCTGTGTTGCTATCATTCGCAACATACTTAAAATAATCGGGTGAATTGCAAAAACAAGACCATGCATCACTGCTGCGCACATGCAAGCAGCGTGCATTGTCTGGTCTCAATTTGCAGCGAAGCTTGTTAAAAAGAGATGGATGCTTTACAAAAGAAAGCAGGTGTAAACAAGAACGTTCAACGACTAGGGAATGAGGAATCTCTTGCCAATAAGTTCCCCACGAGCGCCCGACTGCTCTAAACATAATATTACTCAACATGTGTATAAGCAAAGATCAAATTGGTTCTAGTCGAAAATTTTTACGTCAGTATAAAGAAAAACTTACTTCTTTAAGTCAGATAGAGTTTGAAAATGCTATAGGCCTTTGTTTAGGTGATGTTAGTCTTCAAAAGTCTGTATCCAATCATGAAGAATTTCGTATCAAATTTGAATGGGGAGATAAGCACAAAGATTATGCTTTTCATGTGTATAATATTTTTCAAAGATGGTGCTTATCAGAAACAAAACGAATTGAGCGACGAAATGCTAACGGCAAGATTGTTGTAAGCTGGCGATTTCAAACAATAACTCATAGGGCTTTTCTACCTCTTGCTAATCTATTTTTAGACGCAGAGCGTAATTACCGAAAAAGCATACGACCGGGTATTGTGAAAGACCACTTAACAGATCGTGCTTTTGCTTATTGGTATATGGACGATGGTAGTATCGCTTCAAAAAACCGACTTGGTACAGTACTCCATACACAAGGCTTCGATCTTTCTGAAGTTCAAATACTATGCCAAGAGTTAACCGAGAAATTTGCTTTGAAGTGTTGGCCTAAGCTAAATAAGGGAAAGTATTGTATAGTAATTTCTGGACATAGTTTTGATATTATTATCTCACTACTGTCCCCTTGGGTGATCCCGCAAATGGCTCACAAATTACCAAGAAGATCTCAAAGTCGTGAAGCTGAAAGGTCGATAGAGTAAGGCGCGAACTAGATGTTACAGTGCTAATGGAAAGTGATATTGTTTAGTTTAGAGTAGATGACATAGTCTGAACTGAATGGTGACATTCAGAGAGCTTACTTCCTTAAACGCACAACGGTGTTGCGAAGCATAAACGCGAAGCAACTTAAGAAAGGCAAGCCATAACAAAATGAACAGGCTGATGACTCCCAAGAGCTCATATCGACGGAGTCGTTTGGCACCTCGATGAAATCAACTTCGCGCTTATGCGCGGTCTCAATTGTCGAGGAGAAAACGGGTTAATTGTCAAGAACGTCTCTTTTTGAACAAAAGAGATAACTTGCAGCGAAGCTCATCAAGGCACGAAGTATGTGTGCATAACATGCATATGGGATTTGATGAGAACGTTCAACGACTAGGAGATGAGCATGCCAGCAATATATCTCGGTGATTTTTCTAGGCTAAGTGCGCAGCACACTCGGTTTTTTATTCAAATCGAGTCGCGTTCTTCGAACCTTTCCATAAAAACGCGCACCTCGCAGGAAATTACCCCGCCAATCGGTGGCCACGAGCGCCCGTTTGCTATTTTATTTGCATGAAATTAATATGAAAAAAATAGTAAAAGACATAGTCTGAGCTGCCCTGTGAAGGGCAGATATATAAGATAAAGAGCTTATATGATAACAATACTGGTCGACTTGAATAAAATTGGGTCCATAAGGTGCGTGAGCCCTTATGCAAATTTGGCTTATAACGGTGAACCCTAAGGTGTAATACTCAACTACATTATGGCAATACCGTGCGAAGTTTTAAGAATGAAATATGCTAACAACAAAACAAGAGGCTGCGCAGCAGTTGGAAGCTTATTAGGTGATACACACATAGAATACAATGGAAAAATTGTCGTGCACGTTTTTATCATAATATAGCCCAACTAGAATATCTAGAGTGGAAACATAAGATGTTAGAACCCTATTCGGGTACAATATCTAAATATACTATTTATGATAAACGAACTCAGAAGACTTATAAAAAAGCACGTTTTTATACTTACACACTGCCTCTTTTTTCTACTTATCGAGAACTATTTTATCAAAAAGGAAAAAAGATCGCTCCCACAAATAGAAAATCAATTTTCCATTCTAGTTTAGCATTGGCTGTTTGGTATCTAGATGACGGCTCTCTGAAAACAGATTGTCAGGCTTTTAAACTTCATACAAACAACTTTACATTAGTTGAAGTTGAGATGTTAAAAGATACACTCGAACTAAATTTTGATGTAAAAAGCAAACTTCACAAACAAAGAAAGAACTTTCTATTGGAAGTAAACATTCAGAAGCAAAGAAATTTAGTCAGGTTATTCGACCTCTGGTTGAGTCAGAGATACCAAGTATGCTTTATAAATTCTTTTAACCGTGTAACGACTGAAGAAATAAGAAATCTAATCAATAATGTGGGGGCTTTCAATATCAAAGTCTTTTTTAGACTAAATTACAAAATGTGAGCGCAAACGAACGTTTGCTGTTTTCGAAAGCCCGTTCTTTAGATTTCTTAGAGTATGAGATGAAAAAAAATGGCACGAAGAGGTTACTTTAATAAAAAGCGAAGCGGACTGCAATTAGAAAATAACGTAATAGTAGCGATACTCTTTTCGCAAATTTTAGCCTGTCTTTTTCGCTTAAGCGCTTCTTCTAACCACAAATTTCATAATACGCCAAACTCTTGCACTTCGTCTGTGCAAGATGATGATATAGTCTATGCCTGCGGAAACGTAGGATTAACATGCATCACATCCTGGAGCTGAAGAAGGTTCCAAGGGTTCGGTTGTTCGCCGATGAAAGTGGTAAACTCATTGCCGTGATTAAAAGAACAAAATTTTAGTCTTATTATTTAACTATATGCGGGAATACCAAGCAGGTAAATCCGCAGGGCGCGAAGCGACGCGCCCCAGAGACTTTAAGTTAGATTCCCAAAAAAAATATATAAATTTATATGATTGAAGAACTTCAAAAAACGATTATCCATTTAAATTCTTTAAAAGACTTCTATCAAACGTAGAACCTTTCTTTAGACAGAATACTCTTCAATCTCGAAAATGTATAGATTTTCTCTTATTCCAAGAGATTTTACGTATGATGTGGAACGAGAAGAGCATCGAAGTTTAGAAGGTTTGCAAAAAATTAGGGAAATTCGTGATCAACAACGGAGATTTAGAATAGAAGTATCTGATTCAATTTGGGAAAGAGAAAGTCCCTTGCTCTTAGAAATAAGAGAATCAAAAAGACGTGAGTTGGGTTTAGAACGTAGAACTTTTCAAGACACTGCGTTAATAGATGCGTAAGCAATTATTTAGTTTCGGCTTATATCGGTGAAGCCTTGACTGTTTGAATACACATGGTAATACCGAGGGAAGAATATGCAAAATTTACTTTCTGCAAATGTGTAGATTAGTTGATCAAATTGGAGAATTAAATGATTCAAAAAAACATATTCTCTGATACAGTTGCATCTGAGTTTAGAACACTATTCCCCGTAGAGACTTCCGATCTAGCAAAACCGAAGCCCAGCTTGTAAGAGTATCCAAGATGCAATACAAGGTTAGGAAGGGCAGCAGTTTTGCAAAGATCGGGGATACTGTTTCTGATTAGAAACCGTATAACACGCCGACTCTTTGTAGACAGGAGATGTATGCAAAGATGAAGATATAGTCCGTTACTTATGGAAACATAAGAGTAAAACGCGTGAGACAGTTCGGTTCCTATCTACCGTTGGTAGGTTTATGAGAATTGAGAGATTTAGGCCTAGTACGAGAGGACCGGGTTGAATCAACCTCTGGTGTATCAGTTGTGACGCCAGTCGCAGCGCTGAGTAGCTACGTTGGTCAGAGAGAACTGCTGAAAGCATCTAAGCGGGAAACTCTACTCAAGACAAATTCTCTTTATGGGTGAAAGACCATCACTTTGATAGGCGGGGAGTAGTTGCTTTGTGAGAGGTTAAGCTTACCCGTACTAAAATTTCTTTATTTGATTTCTTTGTCTTATGGCTTCGCGCCATTCTTCAATCTGAGTTTTTAGCGCAAGAAAGTCAAAGCGCTTCGCATCTGAACTTAGACTGATGAGCACATTTTTTTATGCACCGCATGCATGAACATATGCATGCATGCTCCAATGCTTCATATTCTTTCGTTTGCTTGCATTAAGTACGGAGCTAAATGTTTTTTTCCACGGGCAGTTTTTATGCCCGTTTCCTTTGCAAATCTTTTAAACTTGTAGATTTTAAAAATCTTACTTTATTGTAGAACAAGCATGCGAAGAAAAAGCAAGCGATGGCGCGCGTTATGTACGTTGCTTACGCTTGCACGGGTTGCGCAACCCGCTTTGCTTGCTCATTCTGACGAACCTGACGGAAACCATCTTCGAAAACAAGCTTGCAAAGCAAGCTTTGCAACTCTTAACTTCAGTTGCTTGCTTTAGTTTGCGGATTTTATATCCCAAGCAAAGTTGCTTGGGACGGACTACATAAAAGAAAATTTAAAAAAAGAAAAATATGATTGTCTTTTTTTTGGTAATTTCGCCCATACTTTATTACATTACTAGTTTTTCAATTTAGTTTGACTTTTTTTTTTTTATGTATTTCTCACTTATCTAGTCACTCGATTGGTAAGGGAGCTAGATCGCAAGGGATATTTGACTTCTACCAGCCTGTATTTAGTGAATAATAGAATTACGCAGTATCTTGTGTTTTCTGCTTTAAGGTTTGAAGAAATTTTGCTTTCGTACCCCTTTTTGGTTTTTTTTTTTTATATTTCTTTTATGTAGTCTCTCAAAAATGTACGTCTCACCGATCTCAAAGGCATCTACTGGCGTCTGACTCTACATTTCTATATGATTTTGTTTTAGATTGAGGTGGAGAATTTTAAACGATTACCAGTTGGACCTCTATAAGGGACGACCTGGCTTTACTTGGACTGACGTCATACTAGAATTGACAAGATTCAGTGGTCTACCTATAGAAAATAAAGTTCAAAGTAAGTGCAATCAGACCTTCTATAACATTATTCCTAAGCGAGGAATGCGCAAAGTAGCAGAGAAAGCAATGGAGAGCCCTGAAGTCCAAAAAGTGGTTATCACTTCAGGAGTTGCTGCTGTGGCCGCCGGTGTTGCAGCTACAAGCGATCTCTTGTCAACTCCCGAAAAACGCGCTATAAAGGAAAAAGAAAAAATCCTCAAAAGCGCCGAAGAGGAGCAACAGAAGGCTTCTGATCAACTTGAGAAATTCCCTATAACTTCAGAGATTATCACGGATAAAGCGAAAGAAGAGAGGGGGCGATTAGAGCACGAAGTCGTAGCAGCAAACGAGACAGTGCGTCTGCATAAAAGTGAGTTGACTGACCTTCGCAAAAAAGCTTCCGAAGGAAATTCACTTCCCGGGCCTGATCCTGATATTGGCATTGATATTACAGATTTGTTCCCTTGAAGTTCCACAAGCGCAAATCTTTCGCGTCTTTCGAACCTAAAGGTTCCGTAAAGGAACTTGTTGTCGTGTTGCGCACCGGGAGGTTTACCAACGCAAGCTTTGCTTGCTTTTTTTCATGGTTGCGCAACCCCGCTTTGCTTGCTCTAACGAGCCTAGCAAACGAAAGATCGCTAGCAACTCGCAAGCTCGCCCAACCGGGGCAAGCTTGCGCTTCGCTCCTTTCTTAGGGAAGATCGCAAAGCTTGCTTTTTAATGAAGCTGACGGGACATTATGGCATGGGCGCGCAAATTTCTAGCGAACCTGACGCTCGTTAGAGTCACAAGCAAGCTCGCCCAACCGGGGCATTGCCGCGCTTGCGCTCGCCCCGCGCCCATAATTGCTTTGCAACCCCGACGCTTCGCTCCTCGCTTCGCGCCTCGACTCTAACG